ATATATATTGTTTATACTGCTTGTAATTGGGATAAGGTAAACATCTGTTCAGTATTTTAACATAAAAGTGTTGATTGTGAGGCATCAAAAGCCACAAAATGCAACGGGTCCATCAGACCCACAAACGCTGGCTGAGTAACAACAATATGAACATTACACAAGGGTTAAACATATTTTGTGTAATCAAATTTATTAGTAATTACTTTTAAGTATTGTACCTCATACTCATAGGGTGAACTCCCTGGAAAATAAATAAGGGACACCTCACTGCAGACCCACTTTTGTTTGTGAAACTTGTTTTGTGAAAAACTTGAATTTAAGTTAAAGGTATATTTTGAGACATGAACAAAATAAATTATTACTTAGCCAAAGTACTTACTTATTTTACTTATCAAAATAACCAGAATAAATGTTTCTCAAAAAGAAACCAGTCCTGCTTAACTTAAAATGATAAATTACGATAAAACAATAGAAAGCAGAATATTCCTGTAACAGTGCGCATTTAGTGCAATAAGAAATGTGCAAAGAGAAAGTCTGTGGAAAAGTTGTTAACTTATTTTTCAACTCTCTCCATAAACCCAGTGAAAGATGGGATGCTAAGAAGAAAGGATAGACAACAGCCTGGATGTTGTGGAGCTCATCTGCTTTCCAGAGCATCCATCTCTCTGCTGTTCCCTCGGCCACATTTTCCTTCTTTTGAGGTAATTTAGTGAGATGCTCCAGAAGGTAGTCACACACTCTTCATAAAGCTCATGTATAGAGATCTTTAGCCTGCCAATACAGATGAGAAGTTGACACGAGTCAAAAGTGGCACATAGGCCATTTACAGTGGTAAATAAACTAGCAATAATCGTATTGTATATATTTATAGTATTGTATTAGTATTTTAATTAATTCAAATTAAAGGCCCAGGCGGCTTTGTTATGGTTGCCTCTTGTCATCTTCTTGAGAAACTTTTATTTTTCAGTTAGTACACCAAGTTGCTATTGATCAATGGCTGATGTACCAAAAAAGTACATTTCTTCTGGATTTTAGGGCAAATTAGATAAGAGATACTTTTATTTTTTAAGACATTTTAACATTGAGAGTGAACAACAGCTTTGCCTTTAGACTGCAACTTTAACACCCCATCAAATAACAGTATGAACTTACTTATGACAGTGGAATGAGGTTAATAGAAGTACAGATGCATATGAATAATAAACACAGGGCTGTTCCTGTTGACCCCTCTGGGCTCTGGCAATATATTTCCAGATTTAATATTAAAATGCAAATGGAAACCTAACAATGATTAAAATGTGTTTTCTTTTATCTTCAAAGCAGACAGTGAAGAACACAATAGATTATTATAAACATCTTACTTTGATCTATTTAATAAGAATATTTCACAATGTGCAACCCCATGGCATGAGACAGCTATAACGCAAAACATGAATGCTGACTGCTATTTAACAACAACAACAATAAACTAAAACAAAGGAAAGTAAATCATTTCCATGGATTTGCCTGGTGCTTCTTTAAAGGTAATACTAGGATAAACTGTCATTTAGTGGCAAAATTCGATGTTGCATTCACATTTGACTATTTCAGTGTTTTGAAGTTATTTATATATACTTTTTTTGTTGTTTTGTGTTTGTATGTTTTGTTTTTGTACCTGGTACGTGTACATCTATTTAAACTTAACCAGTGTCCACCTGGGAAATACATTTTTATCTCAATACAACTATTTACATGGAAATAAAATGTACATTTTAATAAAACAATAATGATAATTTTCCCCAAAATAAAAAGCCTATATAGCAATAAGATCCTAAATATTGAACTACAATAGACCCAAACATACTGGGGGCAGGTCTAGTTCCCACAAATTAGCCAATCAAAGACGTTTACGAACCCTCTCTTGAGTTGCTGCGTGTCAGCCAATCAGCATAATTCTTGAATAAAACCCTAACCAATCAGTTTGTCGGATGTTTATTTGTCCAGAATGAGGAAGTGGATTATGTGTGTTTTGTATACACATCACAATTGATACCGAATAACAAGTTATTATTTTAGATACTCTTGTTTTACAGGTTTTGCTTTCAGCTCGCAGCTATTTCGGCAGCAGACTACCATTGTTGGCGCTTTAAACCTCGGCTAAGTCACCGAAATTACCTCGTTGGTGACGGTATTATGCTGGCCCGGCTATCTACCTTGTTCGGCGCCTCCTTAAGGCTTTCCTAGCCGAGGTAAACACCCATGGGTGGCCGCAGTATCTTCAGATAATGGAGGCTTTGACCATGGCTGCAGTGACGGTGTGGAGATGCAGCAGCGGCCGTGTCCTCGGAGGCTGGGGACCGCTGTTGTGTGTGCTTCTGGGTTCTCTGGTGGCTCTACTGATGCCTCTGGTCGGGGTGGAGGACGAGTGCTGTGCTGCTTTGAAGGGTATGGCCCAGCTCCGGTGTCAACTGTGGGGGAATCCTCAGCAACCTCAGGCTGTTCAGTCCACCAGCCCCACTGTTCCATTCACCGCTCTAGATGTGCTGCCTCAAAGATTTAAACCCAGCAAAGGTAGTGAATCCTTCTTTCAATACCAGTGCTGCTGTAATGTAGTAAATATTCCTATTTTCCTGTCTTTTATTATTATTCTGCCTTTTACTATTATTATTTATACCAGTCGGTTAATCGTGTTGATGGAGGTTTTCCTCAGTCTTTTGTCTTTTTTTTTCATTTATTTGTTTATTAAATAATATCTGTTTTACCTGAACAAAACATTTATGAATCATTAACATTAAAGAAAATAAACTCGAACTTATTAAATAGCTGTTTATTATAACGTATATCCTGTCAACAGCCTTATAGTTGAGTAAAAGGCTTTTACACTATAACCTTTTAATTTCTAAGATCTGGTGTGTTAATTCCCCAGACACCAGGGGCTGTGTTAGTTCCATATGTTAGTGTTTTTGTATGACGTGTTAAAAAGTATTGGGTTATAAGTAAACATTTACAAGAAATAAGGACTGTTTTAGAGAAAAGGGTAAATTACAAAGACTACTGTAATTACATTTGTGACAAAAGCATTACGTTAAAAATCATTTAAATAAGAAATGTAATTGCTTAGTTCTCACACGAAAACAAAAATTGAAGATATTTTAAAAAAAGCTGTAGAACAAATGTTTCAGGAATTCAATAGCAATTGACTCCCTTTGTTTGTTTTGTCTTTTCAACGTTGTTGATTTTTGTGATAAACTAACTCTGTGCTTGACAGACGTGACACTGCTGCTGCACCATGACCTGCTGATAATAAGTGTATCTTAAGCACCATCTTGTGGAACAATTTATTACTGTAGCATTTCTGAGTTGGGCAGGTATAGCAGGTTCTGTCATTTAAGCAGGTGTAGTACAAGTTTTTATTCCTGATGATATCTATTGAAATTCTAGAATCTTAATCACAATTCAAGGCTCACATCTATTGTTTGTAAATCTTTATATCTATATTTAGTTTCTTCTGTCAAATGTTTTTTTTTTAACTTTTTTAAGGAGCCTCTCTCAACCATAGTTGGTATTATATTTGGCCTCAGCTGTGTTTCATTCACGACATAACTGACACTTTTCCTAACTTTGTGTTTGCAGAGATGCAGCTGGAGGCTAGAGCTGCTCTACTGCAGGCTCAGGAAATGAAGAAACTAGGGAAGAGGGAAAAAGCCCACAAACTGCTAGTGCACGCTCTCAGTATGAACCCTGACTTTGTGGAAGCTCTCATGGAGCTGGGGACCATCCTGGAGGATAAGGATGTAGTCCAGGCTGATCATCTCTACACCAAAGCCTTGGCCATCTCCCCCTGTAATGAACGGGCTCTGGTGAGCCGCCATCGGACTCTGCCTTTGGTGGAGGAGCTTGACCAGCGTTACTTTAGCATCATTGACAGTAAAGTGCGGAGGCTTATGTCCATTCCCAAAGGCAACTCTGCACTGTGTCGGGTGATGGAGGAAATGTACTATCACCACATCTACCACATGGTGGCCAT